TGTTGTGTCTTGAGGTGGATGTCCCTACAATCATCCATCCTAATTGGACTACGCCTCAACGGGGAAAGAAATAGAAAAAGAGAAGGAAATAGGCGGAAGAAATTGTAGTGCACAGTCAGGGAAAGTCATACGTCACATAGAAATGGCAAGTGCAAATGACGTGCTCGATATGTAGATTGAAGTGGCATAATAAAAGAATTCACTCAAGCGATAGTGCCCCGAGCAGGAGTGGTACGATGTTGAATTAGAACCAGTTGTTTCAAATAGCATGGTATCAGTTAACGAACATGTGAGTAAACATCAAATTCATTTTTTAGCTACTTAACTACATTTGCTATTTATTACAACTACATTTATTAACTACGTTTATCTATTGGATTACAGGGTAAAATGGTTTCATTAAGAGGTCATGGATCGACCCTTTTCTTTGACGAAGAGCCGATGCAATTCATTCCAACCCCCATCATACCTAGACAGACAATTCGTGATTGAAGGGAATGTTGTGGGTGTTTTTTGATGATTTTAGGGTGTCATTAAGAGGTCATGTTTTTTGTAATGACAAGTCTCTTGGATATGGCTGAATGCTGTTTTTTGTAATGCATTTACGCTGTTTTTTGTATATGCATTCCAGGCAGTTTTTTGTAATGCATCAAGGCTGTTTTTGTTTTGCTGATAGCTTGATTTGTTGACAATTGTAAATTTTGGTGAAAAGAAATGTGATGGTTCAAATTCATGCATTTTACAGTGGATTCATGCTTTCTTATTTAATGGGAATTCATAGATTCGTAGCAGCACGAAAGATACAGAAAATGTAAACATTGATATCCCATTAGTCAAAAGGTGTACACCCAATTCACAATGACAATTCACATTTACAATGAATCATTGTTTCTCCTACTCTAGGACAATTCACATTTACAATGAATCCTTGTTTCTCCTACTCTAGGACAATTCACAATGACAATTCAAAAGGCCTCTTTCTCTGCCAGTTCAATTACATCTGTTGAATTCCTGGGCTTCATCTCCATAATTGTTTTAGCTTTTTCTGATTCCTCATAACCACATCACCAAGCAACCATCATTCTCATCATCACCAGAGGCAGAACATCATTCTCATGAGCATCAGATGGAGTTGAACTCGCCACCAACCAACCATCATTCTCATCATCACCAGAGGCAGAACATCATTCTCATGAGCATCAGATGGATTCTGAATAATTGAAACAACAACAGATTAACATTTTGAACAACAACACTGCAAACTAAAACCAATCAACATTTTGAATAATTGAAAATCGAAAATTTCCTCCTTCAACAGATTGATGTAGCAAAAATTTCCAGGTGAGCAAATCGAAAATTTCCTTCCCTTCAATTTACCTCCATTATCTCCCTCCATGTCTGTATTGGCTGCAAAAAATCGTTCCAGGTGATGTAGGGCTCGACTGACGTTGTGGAGGAATGTGGTGGCGCTTCAGGTCGTGTTTTCAGAGTTGGCAGGGATCGAAATTTAGGGCAAAACCAAATGAAGTGGCTGAATTGATTCGCGTTCCAGGTGAGCGATTCAGAGCTCGCGTTCTTCACTGCGTCGCCTTGGGAATCGATTTGGGGGAGGGATTTTAGGGCAATCAATTTAGGGCTCGGGTTCGATTTGGAGGAGGGTGTTGGAAGGGGGAGAAATGGCGTTTTAACAGCCTGAAATTGCGTCCAACGTGGGCGAAGTTGACGCCGTCGACTGCCACGTCGGCGACCGTGAAGCCACGTCGGACGGTTTGAAACGGCGAGGCTGGAGGGTGATGGATGGAGGGATTGGCTTGTAAGTTCAGTGACCTGTGAGAGGGAAAGTGAAGTTGAATGACCAGAACATGGTGAAGTTATAAGTTCAGTGACCAATGAAAGTTTTTACTCATCAAAATGTAGACTACTCGACCTCACTCTACTACGCAAGTCAAAGCGACGCCGCTACTCGAAAATAATTGCCCTAAATCAATTTCTGTTCCTATCTACCTACCCACTTCACTCTCAGCGCGCGAACAGCAAAATCCGATGGCAGCGACGGCGGCTATGTCATATCACTTCTCCTCCGTGTCCTCGCCGGACACAGTTTCTCTCTCCTCAGCAACTTCACTCTCTCGCTCTCTCCATACCGTTCGACGATTTCCTGGCGTTTCTATCTCCTCTCCGGCAATCCGTCGACGAATCTCCTGCCAGACAGTCTCTTCTTATCCTTCATCTTCTGTCAATGAAAAAAGTCAGTGATCTTTTATATACTTTTTTTGCCTTTGGCAGTTCGAATTTCACTTTTCTTGTTGTAATTTTATTGGTTTTTTTTATTTTTTAATATGCCTCCCATGTTTTAAGAAAGTGTGTCTAATCTTGCCAAAAACACGATGATCCACTGCCAAAAACTTTTCCTTAATTTAAGGATTGTGTCAATTCCTCCCTTTAGCCAATATGACCCCGTTGGGTAATTTCTCCTTCATTTAGGCAAGTGACAGATTGGAAATTTGTCCTTCATTTAACCAAGTGACCTTGGGTAATACTACTACATTTAGCAAAAGTCTTTAATTTGAATGTCGGTTGGGCTTGGACATGGTCTTCAGATGCTTTGTTCTTATGTTGGACTTCGACATTTCTTGGGCTCAAGTTGCTCTTTTATTTGAACTTTAAATTGCTTCAACATTGGGATCAATTGATAAATTTCTTAAATAATATAAGAGTAAAATATAAAAATTATTTTTGAAGGAAATATTTCCAAAACGATCATTATTGTTCTTTTAAATGACATTAATCTCACTTGAAAGTGCAATATATTGCAATTATCACTCTATGAGACTGAAAATTCTATAGGAAACACATACGCTTTGAGACTAAAGTTCTATTGAATTCTTTTATTAGTGCATGTTTGATAAGTGCTTAAGTTTAGGTACTATAAACCATGGGTTCAACGAAATATGTAGATAAAAAGTATGTTTGATAAAAAATGATTGAATTACAATCACTTCCCAAACATGCTCTTAGTTTATTTGTTTTGTTGGAGATTGTGTATTTGTTCTCTATTTTGTTAATTCACTGGAACTTCCAAGCATTTCAGATATATCTTTTTTACAAGTAGAGTTCAAAAATTCAAAGAGAGTAATTTTTGAGTTGCATAATATGATTTGAAAATTAGGATGAAGAACATTTTTCATGCACAATTATGAAATTAAATATTCGTCCCGTCCCATTTATATAGGTTGGTTTTGTTTTTCAGACAAATTAAGGAATCTTAGTTAATGTTATTGAAAAAGCAATTTTTGCCAAAAACTTTCCTAGATTACCCTTATTTAATTATCAATAGTAAATTAATGATATAATTTTCAAGATGTAGGTATCTTTATATTTGTACAATTTCAAGATTAAGTGGGAAAATTGATTATAACTAGGCAAATTAAATAAGGGTATATTAGCAAATGAACAAAACAAAACATTCTTAATAAAGAAACATGACTATATAATTGGAACAAGAAAATAAGGAAATTCAACCTAAATTTCTATGCATCAGCAATTATCTGTACAAAAGTCATGTTATAAGACTTCAAGCTCCTGCTTAGAAAGCTCAAGTGTTTATTCACCTAAATTTCTATGCATCAGCAATTATGATGATGTACAAATCTTAAGGTCTCATGTTGAAGGAATAGTTGAACTGCAACTTGTGCCTTGGCATTTTGCAAGAATTTTTCAACTGAAGTCTACAAGAAAGGGCATCTGTCCCTTACTGTTTAACAGGATATGGATATTCTCTGTGGAGACTATTTGATTGGAAATGAGGATTCATGTCACTGGGATTTCCTTTTCAAGTTGTGACTTTTATATATTTGTATTGCAGCAAAGGCAGGTCCCAAGGATTTTCTGCACATTGATGATTTTGACAAGGACACTATTCTAAGCATCTTGGATCGAGCCAAGGAAGTAAAAGCAAAGATAAAATCAGAAGACAGGACATATCTCCCATTCAAAGGCAAAACAATGGCAATGATATTTGCCAAACCATCCATGAGGACACGAGTTTCATTCGAGACTGGATTTCACTTGCTTGGTGGCCATGCCATATACCTAGGACCTGATGATATCCAGATGGGTAAGCGGGAGGAAACTCGTGACGTTGCACGTGTCCTGTCTCGCTATAATGATATTATTATGGCTCGAGTTTTTGCTCATCAGGTATGCCGGTGAGTTCTCTTGTTAAAGGTTGTTTTCCTTTTGAATGCATGTGACTATGATAGATTCTTGCAACTTTGATCTCATGAAAAACCAAATACCTTACTACATGCGTATTAAATGAAGCAATGTTTGTAGCACTGGCTTATTCTATGCTAATAGTATATGTGCGTGGCAATTTGACTTCTTGGTTATTATGATGGCTTGGTCACCTAATTTTGTACTACAAATATGTGTTCAATTCTTGTCCTAAATTTTTGTGGCCTGATGGGTTCATTAAGCCAGCTGGTTTGGCACAAGCTCTGGCTGGCCTGTTTTTTAGTCAGAAGATAGAACCGTACATATTATAGATAACTGAATTAAAGTTGTATTTTCTATAGAGAATAAGTTTCTGGATAATGATATCATATTATGTGCGTGTTCATTTCTTTTGCAGGATATTCTAGATCTTGCTAAATATGCAAGTGTCCCAGTGGTCAATGGTTTGACAGATTACAACCATCCTTGTCAAATAATGGCTGATGTGCTCACGATAATTGAACACGTTGGTCAACTGGAAGGAAAAAAGGTTAGCTTATATGCAACGAGAAAAGATACTTCTTTTCCCTCCTTATATATTCAAAGTAAAAATACTGAACATTCTCTGCTTGAATCTTGGAACTTCAGGTCGTTTACGTTGGAGATGGAAACAATATTGTTCACTCCTGGCTGTTATTGGCATCAGTTGTTCCTTTCCATTTCGTGTGCGCTTCGCCTACAGGTTATGAGCCGGATGCAAGGACAACTAAGAGAGCACTAAAGGCTGGAGTTAGCAAAATTGAGATAACTAAAGATCCAAAGGAAGCTGTTAAAGGAGCCGATGTTGTGTATTCAGATGTTTGGGCAAGCATGGGGCAAAAGGAAGAGGCTGAATATCGCCGTCAAGTGTTTCAAGAGTTCCAGGTACGCCTGCAAGTAATTTTTCATTCATTTAACTTATGTCGGACATTTTTGAAAATGAGACTTGAGAAAGCCAGAAAGATCATTTTGCTGGATGTGGGTTGCGTGGAGATATGACACTTGAGATTCTTGCACGTGCTTTAAAATTTGTTTTGGTTGGGGACTGGAGGAACAAGACACTATATTGCAGCTGAAAGATCATTGGTTGGATAATAATATACTATTAAGCATTTGTTATCTAGAATCCCTATAGGCAGGTTTGGTAGAGAGGATTAGATGCACTCGACTGTATTAATAAAGAAAAAGAAGCGAAAATCTTATATTGTTTGATCATGTCCAGTGTGCACTGTCTGAACTTAAAACTTAATCAATGATACATCTTATCTCACAACAATCTCAATGCACATAATTATTTGCAGGTGAATGAAGAGCTAATGGAATTAGCTGGTCCAAATGCCTATTTTATGCATTGTTTACCAGCTGAAAGAGGCGTGGAGGTTACTAATGGGGTCATTGAGGCCCCAAACTCTATTGTCTTCCCCCAAGCTGAGAACCGGATGCATGCACAGAATGCAATCATGCTTCACGTCCTTGGGTTATGATCGTCGGATTCTTTGTTTGGTTAGTGGTTTTATTTATAATCCCTGGTTTCTTGTGTTGCTTCATTTTGGTGTTGCACCATTGCAGAACTTAAGGGAGTGTTTACCCTTTATGTTTCTATGTACTTGGATGATGCCCCATAATTGAGCTATTATCGGATACAGTTCAATTTAAATATTATCATTGAGACCTATGATTTTATTTTATTTTTTAATTTATATAGTAAATTCAAGATTATATGTACTCAATATCAGTCGAGAGTGGACTTGTGGCATTGGGATATTGAGGTATGGCTGCTTTTACTAATTACTCAATGCGCTGTTGAAGTTAATTTTGTTGAACTCGGATCCTTTACATTGTGTTGGTGAAATTTCTCAATAATAAAAAATGGAGTTACAAAATGAATAGGAAGATAATGAAATCGGATGGACTAAGGTGCGGATCTCTCTCTCTCGCTCTCTCTCTCTCTTTAAGGATATTCAAGATTTATGCGGTTGGCAAAGCCTAAAACACGGTACAATAGAACTTCTATATGACTTCTTCTCTTCAAGATATAACAACCTGACTATACGCTATTTGACTCAAACAAACATTGAACAAGTAGCTGAGCTTAAAGCTCCACTAAAAGAAACATCATTCTTTGCTCGATAATCTCTCAAGAAAAATGAGTGAGAATGTGAGGGGAAAAGTTAAAAGAATCGTGATTGTTGTGGTAGTGATGAATGCCCAATGAATGGTCCTATTTATATATGTAAAAATAGGCCATTCAAAATAAAGAGGTGTTATAAAAACATGAATCCTTTCACTTTTCATTTTTCAAACCTCCAACATCTTCACTTTTCTAGTTCCCTAAACCTACAAACCTATTAAAAGAAAAACATAATGAATGAATTTTAATATTAAAATGTACCAACATATTGTGACTTGACTTTTTGATTATAAAAATTATAAATAAATTGAAAACAAGTACTTACCTGATTACAATCTAAGGCAAGTGGTTTGGGTCGAGAAACTTGTCGAATTTTTTATTTTTTATTTTTTATTTTTGATGTAATACATTTTTAATTTGTTATATAAGAGTAAAAACCAACATTAAAGTGTAAACATTATCGTGAAGATGTTTATTCGATTTTAATTTGGAGTAAAATTAACAACATTAAAGTGTAATAAAGTAGTAAAGATGGTCTCGAAGGACCAAACCAGCACGAAATTTTCACCTGTGTATGCGGAGGTACACAGTTTTACTATTGATTTGTTCATGAATTATTCAAGTCAATAGCTTCGATTTTTACACTTAATGCGATGACATCCAAGATGTACACATTGGATGTACAACTAAATTAATCTTTAAATGAACTATCAATTAATTATGCATCATGTCATCGATACTTATATTATGTTTATGAGATCATTTCTCTTAGAGTTAATATAATTTATGTTAGATGAAAAAATATAAAAATTAAAATAAAATAGGAAAGATTTGGTCCTTTAACAGCCATGTGTCAAAATGATACATTCATAAATAAGTAATATTATTTATAGCTATTGGAGATTCTTTACCAGAATCAGACGTAACCATATTTGGGCCGGAGTTTGGAAAACAATCATGTCATACAAACAAGATAAAAAAAACAGGGATACGTGTGTCGATACATGATTGAACAATTCGAAAAAAAAAACACCAAAACAGGTGCTGCCAAATCAGTCTGTTCATCATTTTTCTGTTTTTGAGCATGTTAAATCATCATTATTGTTTGGAAAATGATATAAGTGCATGGCCACATACCGACGTTCGCGCTATAAATTAATTCCTTATTCTCAATCAATGATTTTCAGTTACAACTAGCTTAATATGGAAACTTTAATCTTGCTACATTGTTGGAGGATATTAACACTTTAGATGACAGAATGCCACGTGTCGTTACATTATTGGACTATTTTAAAAATAGTCAACACTGTCATCCAATCATTTTTTTTCACAACCTCATCTGTCAACCAATGTGTTAAATTTCTCTAGCGAAATAACATAATTCAAAAAGTTAAATCTATTTTTGATATTAAGAAATTATTTTTAAATATATTCGAAAAAATTTGATTTAAGGTGCTAACTTCGAAAACTCTTTTACAAGAAACTAGCTAAAGCTCTTACAATAAACAAGGTGCTGCCAAACGGGCCGAAATATTGTTCTACTCTCCCAAATATCTAATAGCAAATTGTGGGAAAAAACCGCAAATGTATATGAAATATAAATGCCATATATATTTCTAATTTTAAAATATATACTATGTATTCAATAAAATATCATTAAAACTACTGCTATCGAAACTTCCACGGTAATTCTGATCGTACAAAATGTCTGTACATGTAACATACACACATATTTATTTATTTATTTATTTTTAAAATTCCAATCCTATTTGGACCCAGATACACGTGCAAGGAAATTAACAACTTACACCCAAATATTTATACAATCATGCTATATGTATATCATCATTTACACTTTGTCAAGAAACAACACACCATTGAACAGTTTAAAAAATATAAGCAATTTTCCCTTTAATATTTTTTAACAACACATCAAATGTTATGCTAAATATACACTTTGATTGTACCTCCAATATTTTTTATATTTATAACAATAAATAATAGAACGGACATATCTTCTCCGTTTGGCCTCCTTTCTTATTCTCATTTTTTTCTATCTTATTTTCAAGAATCTTGCTACATGTACATGTACCCTTTGGGGGTACTTGTTGGTTTATCCGGTTCCATCCTCACATGGGGGTTGGGTCCCACGTATTAATTGGATGTGGGACTCGACCTCCATGTGAGGAAGGAGGCGGGATCGGGTAAACCAAAGTATACCCCAAATGGTACAAATATCATAACTCTATTTTCAACTATACAATCTTTTATAAAATAATATTACATGTAAATCGATTTTTATTTTTTTCAATCACAAAAAAAACATTATTCCAAACATAAAAAATTGAAAGAAAGGGGGGCCAAACGGGTTGTCACATGTCAGTATTTATTAATTAATTTACATAGTATTTGACTGGATTATTACAACAAAGCCACCCACAATTTGGATTGGAACAGCTTTGACACAGGTAAACCAGCGGACGGGCTTTCAATTCGGAGTCGGTTATCAACGAAATAATTAAACGACGTAGCTTTGAACACCTGAATCCCAACCCTTCCGATTCGATCGTCGATTCCTACTATTCAGGATGGCCGAAGAAGGCGGAGGGAAGAGCAGAGGCGTCGCGACGGCAGTTAGCGAGCAGCCCCCGCCTAGTTATTATTACGGGACCTTCCAAGGCGTGGCAAATTATCAGCCTCAACCTACTGTCTCTCCTCCTCCACCGTCTCACCATGTCATCGGTTTCCCTCAGCCCATGCCTCCTGCCGGCCTCTCCGGCGCTCCGCCTCATTACTATCCTCACGGATATCAAATCGTTCCTGGTACTCTTGATTGGATTCGGACTTTTTATTATGATATCTTGGTGTACACTTCGATGAAGATTTAGAATATCTTGGTTGAATTATAACTTTTGTTGCGATGAATCTAGCCGAAAAGAAATAAAACGATTCACGAAACAGGCCAATGTTTATTCTGTAACTTGTTATTGGTTTGACTATAAAGAAGTTCTGTTGATGTATTTAATGTTTATGAAAGAAATAGCTGGGAAAGTTGATATATTGATTAGTTGCTTCAGGAAAAGACAAATCCCTACTTTGTTCTTTTAGTTGATACATTGTTCAGTTGCATCAGGAAAAGATAAATCCATTTTCTGTCGTTCTTTTAGTTTGTTATTCCACACCTGTTGCATGCTCTATTGGCTTTGTCAGGTGCTGTCATTGGCGATTTAACTTTATTACATGCTCTATATAGTTTGTTAAGAAGGAATATAGTGTTCACTGAAATACATAATCAAAATCTTCAATTTAACTTAACTGTAAGAAGACCAGGGTATGGTGTCTATGGTTTGCTGTTTTTTGCAAATTTTACCAGAAGTACCCCTCAAAGTTTAGGAAAACGAGAATGATCATTTTGGACAAGTTTTTATGGATTCTAAATTTTTGACATCGGTTTTTTCCTTGTGCTTTATTGGTTTTGCGTTTGTCCTCCGTCGCCTGATACTAACAAGGCCACATAGTTTTGAAGTTCATGCTGTGCTTCAATGTTTTTGGTGATGCATGTGAAAATCATTCTACCACTACTCAAAACATACATGTTATCGGACTTAATGGAAAACTAATATTGTTCATAGATACAGTTCCAATGTTCCATGTGCACTTCTTTAGAGGACTACCATTTTATGTTTTGCATTAGCTTTTAACTCCTTTTCTGTTCTTGCTATTCTAGGTTATGCTGTCGCTGAAGGGCAACCTTTTAGAGAGCATCGGCTTCCTTGTTGTGGTATTGGGATTGGATGGTTCTTGTAAGTTCTCATTCTCACTTCTACAGTTTATTGACAGATGATTTTCCTTTCTTTATTTGGCAATAATCCATGTTCGTGAACTCTTCAAATAGTTATGGATATTCCACTCTTCAAAGAGTTATTTGGATTAGCATTTTGCCCCCTTCAAAGTAGTTCTAATATTTATGCTTCTGTTGTGTTGTCAATTTTCCTTTATTTTGTCTTGGTTTATGAATATCAACTGGCACCAAGGTACCAGCTCAAATTCTGTAAAGGGAAAATAGTCATAGTTCTGATTGAGGAAATGATGATTCAAAAAACTCAATCTATTGTGAAGAAATGTGGTTGATCACTAGGAAGTGCTGCAAATTGGAGGCAAGGCAATTTACCAAGTTCTTGATATATGGTTGTTATAAGTTTTTACCCTATACTGCAAATTTTCTGCCCTTTAATGCTTAATTTAGACTAAAATTTGGTCAAGGTTATCTAATGATTATATTATTGCATGCATAATTTGTTAACCTCTTCTAAATGTGAGTAATTGACTGATTTTATTTGAATTTGTTTTCAAGGTTTATAATTGGTTTCGTGCTCGGTGCTATTCCCTGGTACATTGGAGCTTTTATACTGTTATGTGTTCGGGTGGATTACAGAGAAAAACCTGGACTTGTTGTATGCACTCTTGCTGTAAGTATTCACTGTTTAACATTTAATTTCTTGTTCTGAACTGTGAACTACTTTAAGGATTACTGCTGCTTATTTTCTGAGAATTATAAAATCCATGTTTTAGCACAATCTTCTAAAGTTTTTCATGATGACTGAACTTCCTTCTTCAAGTATTAAATGTGATGTTTCTGGATTGTGTTACCTTGCCCACATTGGACCTATCATCACAAACTAGAGATGCATGAGTATAATTTCTTTCATTAAGAAATGTGCCATAGATGAGATGCATAAAAGAACTGATTTGATGGTGAAGAGAGATGCTTATTGCATAAAAATTAGTAATGATAATATTAGGTTCCCTCTACATCTACCCCCAATGGCGGACCCAGCACCCGGCGAAGGGGCGCGGCCGTGCGTGCTGGGCTCCGCTGGAACAGTGCCGGAGAAGTCAGCCTCAAGTTTGGCTTCGCTGCTGGTAACTGTGTCTATTCCTCTTTTGTCTGGGTTGGGCCGAAAGCCTTTAGTTTCTTTTATTATTTTGGTTTTGTAATTGGGCCTTTTGCATGGGTTGGGCTGAAGCCTGAGAGTAAAATTTTTTTGTAGTTGGGCATCTCCTCTTTTAAATTAACCAGGCCCAATCGTTTAATTATATATAGGTTCAAAAGATATAAATTGGTGGAAGTCGTACATGCATTTTATCCAGCAATACTTGGGGGCTTGCTTGAGTGATAATATATGATTGTAGTAGTTTTTCATATAATGAAAGTTTCTATAGTTCATAAATTTTCGTCTTATACTTATATTTTTATAGTTCGCTATTTTTCCTTGAACAATAAAATCTCGTGGGTTATAGAAGGGAAATTGTCTTGGTTCCTATTATATCGAAAACTTTAATTGATTTTCCATTTTAAATGTAGGATTAATTGTAAATCAAATGATGCATGATCACATATGAATAGCAACTCTAAAACTTTTCGTGTTGTAATTTATGAATTTATGTAAAATTGCATGTGACGACAAGGAAAAATATCAAGAGCGACCAAGTTTTGCAAAAAAAAATATGATCGTCTTCCCACCACATTTATGAACAATTACTACTTGGAACCTCCCGAGTAACTCGCTCAAACCACTCCAAAAATCTTGAATAAGAATATAAAAGGATTTAAGATACAATTCAATTGATGTATAATTGGTAAGCACTGCTTATGAATAGTAATACTCAAACTTTTCTTGTTGTAACTTATGAAATATCTCGTTTGATATGTGAAAACAAGAAAAAAGATCAAAAGCGACCAACTTTCGCAAACAAATATGGTCGACTTCCCACCCCATTTGTGAATAATTACTACTTAGAACCTCCTGAGTAACTCAAGTGGCCCCAAGTAGTTAAGCAAGAAGTCTCGTTTTTACGATCACTTATGGTCGACGGTCAATGGTCAACGTCCACCCGGACTGAACCTTTGTGCTGGGTTTGCCACTGTCTACCCCTAAAGGTTAAGTTATGTTAGACACTTAGTATATTTTAGCTAATTTTTATGTCAAGAGAATATCAGAAATTGTTTTGGGTGTTGAAGCCACCAACATAGTGGTCACATGTTAATTATAAGTGATTATTTTATTGACTTGAAAGATAAGAAGGGAATATAGATGATGTAAAAGACACAAATGAAGAATTGGATTCTCCACGGGAGAATAGAAAGTTGGGCTTGCTTATGCTGTCGAAAATTATTCATGGATACCCTACAATAACTATTAACTAAAAAGGGATAAAAAAATAAAGAATAACCATTGGCAGATAGGCTGCAAATAGGTTAAACCTAATTATTGTATCTTGCCAGAGTTTGGGCCAATTTTTTCGCAGTAGGTTTTTGGCTTAAGATTTAAGAACAGTCCAATTATTATATTCTATACATGTGGTCGTGTCGCTCTGTTTCGACGACTCAGCTTGAAATTCTACTCGATTTGCAATATTGTTATCTTGACTTGTGAAAATTTATTATTATTGGTTTGTTACTGCAGGCAACTCTTGCTATTCTTGCTGTTATTCTTGGTGTGACCAAGGCAACTCTTGAATGGTGAAGTTTTTTCTAAGCTGCAGAAGTTCTTGTACATTTCATAGTAAAATCCCCCGGAAAGATATCAGAAGTGGAAAAAGGCCTGGGGGTTGGAATGTTATCTTCTGCTTGGAGTTTGACTCATGTACTTGTAAAGTTATGGTGACTTGTTCCTTGATACAAAGTTATGATTTATTTATGAATAATTCTTGGTGTACATAGAAATTGGTACCCATATGAGGGTGTGGATACCTCTGTGTATAAATTCCTATGTACATGTAGCATATTCCTGGGACCCACCTTGTGAGGGTGTGGCTATGTATCAATTTTTATGTACATGTAACATATTCCTTATTTAATTCACATTTCTGGATTCACTCTACAAGTTTATCAATTTTTGTAGGGCAAGCGAGTTTCTCTTCCTTTCTAGGGGAAAAAAATTGTCCCAGGGTCACGTAACTTGGGGGATAATTGGACCGACCTACTAAAATGGGGCCGGTCCATCTTAAACCTTTACTGTCCTGGGCCCTAGCCCAACTTTATTTTTTAAAGGCAAAAGTTATTCTTTTGTCACCTCTACCCAGGGATGGTTGTGTGGGCCTTTATTGGAATTAGAGAAGGGAACAATACATAAATCCTATATATAAGGATTACATTTCAAAAATAATAAGTTTCAAAAATCTTTTCAAAAATCAGGTTTTAAATCAATTAATTAAATATTTTTAATTATAATATAATACAATTACACCAATTTATTAAATTTCAAATTCAAATCACTCTCTCTACTCTCTATCTTCTTCCGACCCCTTCTCTCCATCGGAGGCGGCCATCTACTTTGGGGGTCACTTCGGCGACAGTTCCAATAACCGCTCCGACGACTATTCCGAATATCATCCCGAAGCTCTCTCCGGCGGCTATTCACGATCCCTCTAGCAAACTGCTCCAATGACCACTCCAACGCATGCTTCGATCAACCTACCCACCAATTCCCAACTTCCAAAAAATTTCCAGAATTTCAAGTCACAATCGATCATAATTGGTCACAAACGATCACTAAATGTTGTTTCCAGGAAGTGGATGAACTTGTTTAAAAAAAACAAAACATGGGCAAAAAACAAAACAATCTGCACATTGAATTGGATCAAAAAACCACATCAAATTGAAGTCGAAAGTTGTTAAAATTGTAGTCTCCTATATCCAGTACTAACTAGCTGAACAAAAACTTCATTTAGTTAAATTGGGATTTGGTCGTAGATCAGAAAAGGTTCGCCACATCACAACCATCTGCACAAAACACCACCCTCGCCATCACTATCGCACCTATACCACCACCTCCCAAAACTCCGGCTAAGCAGTAGATCTGATCAGAAAAACAACCACCAGCAAACCACCCACAGTATACCTCATTTTCCACCATCACCACCACCGCCCAAAAACCATTGCAAACGACACCACCAATGCCCAAAAACCATCGTAAACGACACCACCAACCACCAGCAAACCACCCATAGCGACGATGACGCGCAGCTGCTGCAACGACGTTAAAAAGAACATCGACGCTCAGATCGTACTGGCGACAACATTCACTTTGTGGCTACAGACGACTTTCGTGGTTGCCGTGGGTAGTGGAGCGCATTGACGACTGGATCGACTTTTCTGCAGATCCACCACCACCCGTAACACCAACCACCGCCACCATTTACAGCGTCGCCACCTCCGAATAGTACCAACGCCGACGACTGGGGTGATGGGGCTAGGAGACAACAATGAACGAAGCGGCAGAGCTGTGCAATGGAACTGCGACGAGCGATTCGCCGGTAATTCTCAAGACGTCGACGGGTAGTAGAAATGTAGAGAGAGAGTGAAAGAGGCGACGGGTTGGGATGGTTCTGGAGAGAGAGTGGTGCGTTGGGAGAAATTATATATTGTAATTAATTTTTTATTAATTATAATTATTAAAACTTAATTACCACTTGATTTGTGAAAAAAAAATTAATCCGCCTATTTTTTGAAAATGAAACTTTAAAAGTAGATTTCTAGGTAATTTTTTCTAATGAGAAGTATACGAGATGAAAATATAGTTAATTTTATTTTCACTAAGGTGTTGTTACTGTTAACATTAATTTGATCACTTAATATTTGTAATATTTACAGTAGCAAACCAAATTAACGTTATTAATTTAGAGTCTAGAAGATCATTATCAATAATGTTATTTGCAGTTGTTCATTACTGTAGTTGTCTTGTGTGACGTATATGTGGCGGTTAGTGATTTGATGTATTAATGTAGTAGTTTTTCATTGCCTTATGCATCAAATCATCAACTGTCACATGTATGCCATGTAGGACGACTACAATAATGAGCAACTATAAATAACATTATTCTTTTAGATATTGTTAGACATTGGACAATGTGAAATGTTTTATTGTCACGTAGATCGATGATTATCTAGACTTTAGATGAATAGTATTATCCAGTAGCTGAATGTAATAGAAAATTTTAATTAATAAATTTTGAAGTTTACAACTTCTTATAATCCACTTATATTCTCTAATGACAATAAAATAGGGATTCCTAATTGGCTATTGTATAGTTACACCATTCATTCTCTAATGACAATAAACACTATTCACTTTATCATTATTAAAAATGCAGTTACAAATTTAAGAAAAATAAATCTTAAATCTGCGAATTTATAAGTGTATATTCATATCCACTTATAATAATGTAATTATAATTATTAATTAATATAAAAAAATGGCACAAAAACACAATTCAAAACCGGCCCAGGAAAACCCAAAACCCCAGTAACCAAACAGCCGTTAAAGGCCCATGTACAAAATTAGGGTTTCTAATTATCTTCTGCCTGATCTCATATATAAATCACAGCGCACTCACATTTGTCGGCAGCTAAGCCTCTAAACCCCAGACCCCCTCCACGGCGAAGTGAGAGAGACTGAGAGAATTAGGATCCATCAGAAATGGTGACTTACAAGGTTTGTTCCTACTTATTATATGCTTACGTGTTGTATAATTCTTCGTGCGATTGAGGAAATTCACTTTTTAAGTGTTGATAAATGGGGTTGATTGGTATTGTGTATGTTATATTGTGTGCAGTTCCATCAGTATCAAGTGGTGGGGAGAGCTCTGCCGACGGAAACGGATGCGCACCCCAAAATCTACCGAATGAAGCTATGGGCTACGAATGAGGTTCGTGCCAAGTCCAAGTTTTGGTACGATCTCTGCCCTCCGCTTCACATTCATATGCACATGTGTTTTTGATTTGTTTAATTTTATTTTATTTTAGGGCTTGTGATGTCAGACATTTCATTTTTCTGGGTTATTTTTGTTGATGAAGGTATTTTCTGAGAAAGCTTAAGAAAGTTAAGAAGAGCAATGGCCAGATGCTCGCTATCAACGAGGTATGTAAATTGCAACACCTAACTCTATTCTGATGGCCTGCCTTTTTTAATCTAAGGCAATACATTATAAGTCCAGGATGTAGATTTAGCTAATTTGAATTATTCTTTGGTTAGTTGCTTTGTCGTATCACCTTTTGCTTTGCAGAACTCTAAATATGAAACTCTTGTCTTGAAAACATTTTCGAGGATGTATGTTTGAAAATTGGATGTTCCTTTCACTTTTGTTTTCTCTGCCCAATGTAATGTTATAACTGATTGAATATGAACTCAAAGTAATGTTATCGATCTATCAACTGTATTGAATGTTTAGGTACTTATATAATGTTCTGGGATAGTGGAAAATAGTTGCTGTAATTTGTCTATTGTCTGTCATCCACCTGAATGACACTGATATATTTTGAGCCATAGTACACTTTCCTGGAAATTCATTTTATTCTAATTTTTAGAAATTTAGACCTGTGTGTACGTTGCTTCAGTGATTTTGGTATCACAACTTCAAGGGACATTTACCTTTAGGCGGGGTAGGAACTAAAACTTTTGATCTATTCAAGTGAATGACAGTATTATGGTAAGGAATTTGTTCAAGGACCAAGGTGTAAAGAAAATGAAATAATCTCATTCCCCTTGTCTTCTCCCATCTCTTTAATTCTTCTATCTCCCTACCACCCTTCCATCTGCCCTGCTTGCCTCCCTATCTCTCACATGCTTTTACATACCCATTTCAGATCCTTTCTCCTTTCCCTGTAGAATCCCAGCCCTTCCCGCCTGTGCCTTTTGACCCCATTCAGGAGGGTTTTTTTTTACAGGGAAGGGAGAAATGAGTAGGCCTAAGCAGTCAAATGGGAGAAAGGCTCGGTCGGGGGTGGAGATGGGGTAGTAGTAGCAAAAAGAAAAACTTGACAAAGGAGGTATTTTTTTAGTAAGGTTGTATTGACATTGCAATTCAAACAGCCTTCTAATCCATAAGATTGGTTAGTGTACATTTTATCCTGACCATTTTCAGAAGGCACCTGTGAAACTCGCCTATGAGTTTGCATATCTGTTTCATGCATGTTGCTGCAACCACCTCTTCAGTCATTGTCGTAATAAGCTGTGTTAGAAGTGATGATTGCAAAGAGTGGATAGATATTGGCTTTAATTTTTTACTTGGGTTAGCTTTGCAATCTATATTACATGCCTTAACCTGTTTTTTCCCCCCTTTATTATTAAAAAATCTAGTGTTCTGTTTCGATACAAATATTAAGTCCTATGCACTTCCTAAGAATTATCTGATTTATTATTTTTCTGTTCATAGATTTTCGAGAAAAACCCCACTACCATCAAGAACTATGGCATATGGCTCCGTTACCAGAGTAGAACTGGTTATCACAACATGTACAAAGAGTACCGTGATACCACCTTGAACGGTGCTGTTGAACAAATGTATACCGAGATGGCTTCTCGTCATAGAGTTCGCCACCATTGCATTCAAATTATCAAGACAGCCACAATCCCAGCTAAGCTTTGCAAGAGGGAGAGTACCAAGCAGTTCCATAATTCAAAGATCAAGTTCCCCTTGGTGTTCAGGAAAGTGAGGCCACCAACCAGGAAGCTCAAAACTACATACAAGGCTACTAGACCTAACTTGTTTATGTAAACATGTTGGTCATTTCCTGGAGGGAAGAATTTCTTATTTTCTGGAATTTTGTTGCTTTAATTTTGAGAGAAAAGAAAGTACTCACGCTCTTAATGGATATTTTCATTTTGATTACTAGGATATGAGACTCGTCACTTTAGACGGTTATCAAAATATTGTTTGTCAACCTTTTAGTCTATGGAACTTTCTAGTTTATTTTGTGGTTCCTTCAATGTCTGGTATATCTATCATCCATGGGAATCTTGTTTTATCTACATTTTGAGACATCAGATTCTTCGAGTTCACTGTATTATTGCTGGTTGTTCCATGCGTATCTTACTATCAATGTCTATGGCCTGCTTTTCTTGTTCATTTTTGCTACCATCCCAACTTAAGAGAGAGCTCGTTTTTGCTCCTTTGTGATTTTCTCTAATTTGCTCATTAATTCTGTCTTCCCTTTCGGCACATAATTTACTTGTGCGTTATGTCATGTCATGCCTTATCTGTATTTTTCTTGTTTCAAGCCTCTGTGGGATGCATCTTGGGTTGCAAGGATCTAGTTTTCTTGCTTGCAATTCCCATTGTTTATACATAATTTGACACTTTTTTTGCTCCTTTTCGTCTTTAGGTTCTACTCCAAGAACTACATGCATTTAGCACTTGTTTGGAAAGTTTTTAAATTATAACTGCATTTGGTTAAACTATTTTAGTTGCACATCTTGTAGGACTACAAGTATTTAGCCGCTTGTCCATTATTTAGTTATATATATATTTATAATTTAATTGATTATAATTTATTTGCCAACAAGGATTTTTAGTTCATACAAATGATTTCATAACCTAGTCGTATTGTCTCTGGTCAAAGGACAAAGTAAAATTTTTTCATTTCAACTACATAATTAATGTTTTTTGTTTAAAGATGAGCCATTTTTTGACACGAGAAAGGCCATTTTCCTGTGATGATTAAGGTAATGCATTGAGTGGCAGGATTTGATTGCAAGTGTTGAATTTTGTGAATAAGTATGAGAGAATTTAGAGGATATTTGAAACATAACAAAAAGAAAGCAGCAGTGGTTTGACTACAGACTTGTTTTCCTTTTTCTTTTTTTATTGTTTAAATATAGGATTTTCAAGATCCTTTTTTATATAATGTTTATAGTATTTTAAATCCTCGACTATATATCAAATTCATCAGAGTTCCTACTTTCATTAGTACTTTCGTTAGTAAGTTTTTCGACTGTCTCATAAATCTAACAATGAAGTAAATAGAATAACAAAATACGTTTTATGTAGCCAATCTCGAATGTATTGAAAACAAGATTTAGATTTTTGTGGTTGCATTAATTATGCTTCTTCACACTGTTCATAATTGTAACACAAGTGACAAGCAAGCATGTCTGAGAGGTGTATGGATTGACAAACAAATTCTCATACAAGCTTCTAATTTTATAAATTATTCAAGTGATTTCATTTTATTAAAAAGTATATGCACTGTCCAATTCTTTTAGTTGAAGAAAAAAAGAAAAGATTTCACCCATTATTTTACATTTTCACTTACTTTTGCCCATATAGGAAATGATGGGAGGTCAGTGCTCAAAAGGGTTATAAATATTGGTGTCACACTCACATAATAGTAGTCATTACTTAGCTAATATTAACACACTTTTATTCAAAAAGATAAACAGAAAAAGTAATTAATAAGATAATAAAAGTGGCTTTTGTCTATAATTACCACATAGATTAAAAATGTTAATTGATTTTCTAGTTAGGAGAAAGAAAGTATAAAGCAATGAATATCATAAAGTAGACAATCTTCAAAAAGGCAAAAGAGAGAAAGTAAAGTAGAGAGGATCACTGCATGCTTATATACAAAAAACACCCTTTGGTTTTTCAACTTCTCTTACAGTAAGAACAGCATTACATATCCATTTATCAATTGGCAGTTTTTGTTCAGCTTTTTGTGTTGACGTTGAAGATTTTCTTGGAGAGTAAATACTGAATGATGCATATAATTCGAAAGATCGTCTCTTTGAGTATTTATTTTATTGTTGTGCTGCTCTTTCTTGTACATTTTTCTGAATGCTCATCTGATGAACAGAAGAAATCTGGCAGTCTTCACAATAGCAGTAAACATGTAAGATAATTTCACTTTTTTATACATGTTTATGATAATTGATTCAGAAGTTCATTACATTTTAGTTTTGAGGGTGACAAAGGTACACAAAAAACCATCAGTGGACGTAGCTTTCATATTGAGGATGAATCACTATAAAATCTGCACGTGCTTTGCTCATTTTTTTGATTGCTTTTCTGAATATTATTACTCTAAAAAGCAGGAATTAGGGCTTGATTTGTAACAACTTGTGCAGGTAAATTCTCAAAAGACATTGGATATTACACTCCATGTCCCCATGGAATTCTTTTATGGGCTTCAATGGGATTCTTAATGCCTCTTGGAGTACTAACAATAAGAATGTCCAGTACAGAGGAATGCCACCGGACGAGGCGAAAAATCTTGTTCTATGTTCATGCAATTTTGCAGGTAGATCATAATTCTTGTTTTGTGCTCTGAAATCAGCAGATTACAGAACAAATAAAAAGAAAAAGGAAAAAAATGTAAAACATAATTCTTTTGATGTTATAATTGAACATTTGTTCTTCTTTTTCTGCTGCATAATCATGATGATGCACTTTCATAATGGCGTGGGAATTAAAGTTCAAAAATAAACAAAACTGAGCCCACAGTTAGGTGGGAGTATAACAAAGCGATTTGAACACGATTACTATGAAGTTATGGGAAGAAAGGAGAAGGGACTTAACTTTATTATTCTTATTTTCGATCGGATGATCCCCGGATTGAAACTTTTATCGTTCGAACTTCAGTATCAAAGATCTTTTAGACGCATGTATTCCTCCGACTGGATTTTATTCTTTTCTTTTGTTTTTAATTTTAAGGCGCTATCAGTGCTACTTGCTACAGTTGGAGCAGTTTTTTCAGTATCAAAATTTGAAAATGCATTTAACAACAGTCATCAAAGAATAGGATTAGCACTTTATGGCGCCATTTATGTTCAAGTTTTGACAGGATTCAGAAGACCTAAGAGGTATATATTTCTATCTTACAGGTCCTAATAGATTGATCCGAAAAAAGCTAGCACGACCCTTTTTACACCCCTAGATGAAATCGTGCCTGAAATTCGAATCTGAGAAGATCAGGACCGTTTTTTTTTGTGCAGGGGAACAAGAAGTAGAAGTTTATGGTACTTCTTGCATTGGATACTTGGAACAACAATATGTTTGATTGGAATTATAAATGTGTAAACAAGATTACAGGCATACCACAAGAGAATAATTGGGTACAAGCCTTTGGAGCATAATTTTCACAGCTCAAGTTTCTTTTATGGCAATTTTTTACCTTTTTCAAGATAAATGGGACTACTTGAAAAGGCAAGGGATGATACCAGTGGATGCTCCTTCACATCCTGTGAATGACACTCAAAAGGATAATTTAAATGAGGCATGTAGAAAAAGCAATGCTCTTGGAACTCACTTTTCAAGGAGCAATGCACTCAATAAATTGTTTCAACTAACATGAATGGATTGCTATTTTTTTCTCAATACTTCACCTTTTTACGTAAGTTGTGACGTCAATTTTGTTCTCTTCAAAGTATTGAAGTGTTGAATGGAACGAAATAGCAGATAAAGATTCATATAGGAAATTCCATAGTCATTAAGATTTTAAATTAATTATTGTTGTTTATCCGATTGATAGTCAGATATTCGGATACTTAAATTTAAATTCATCGTATTTCAATTGTTACAATTTAATCCAATTTGGTTTATATTAGTGTAAAAAGAACTCACAAGGTTGGGGTCATATCAGTCTAATTAAAAACCCCACCTGGCCACCTCCATACTATTAGCAATAATATCAAAATGAAAGTAAAAGTTAAAAGTTAAAAAATATTGGGGATTAATTTGCAACTGACTCTAAATGCTTGGGGTCCTCTTGTGCAATTTACTAGACGCAAGTGCATTTCCCTAAAACAGTCTCGGCATCTTCACTACATCGATAATTTGTGTTGTACTGCATCTGTGGTTTGGGCTGAAGCAAATAAATCTTCAACTCTCAGATTTTCCTCCGAATAAAATTGTAAAATTTGGATTTAATGGCTTCACAAGAGCATCATGTGCATGACCACCGTCATGCCCATGAGCATGATCATCACCATCACACCCATGGGTAAGATTCTTGATCAAATCTGACACTAAAATGCAATTTTGATTTTTTAAATTCGGTACTTATTTCAAGCTATATTGTACTTCCTCTGGTGATAATGATGGTGTTTCGAAATGTAACAGTGATTCGGGAACAGGGACATCGGTGGGCCCAGATGGGAGGGTGTACCATAGCCATGATGGACTGGCACCCCACTCGCATGAGCCAATTTACTCCCCAGGCTACTTTAGCAGAAGGGCACCTCCACTTTTCAACAGAGATTTCAATGAAAGAGCCTTCACTATTGGTATTGGTGGCCCTGTTGGTACTGGGTATATTCCAAAATTCCCTCGTCTCACTTTTTTGCTTAGTTTCTCTTTACAACATTTGCATACTTTTTAGTGTTGAAGACATAATTCAGATAATTTAATTGTTCTTTTTCTAACAGTACAAGTTTTTAGACGAGCTTGAAGTCCCACCTTTCTCTTTTTTATGAAAAATTGTGCACGAATTATTTCTGTTATATGAAAAATTGTGCACATAGTATGTCTTTCTAACTGATTAAGCTTTTAGATGAGCTGTTTCAACTGTTAGAACATTTGTGTGGATATTGGTATGAGTGTAATCTGGAAATTGGGCTTTCGTGTATAATCTGAATTTATCTTGTTTGCAACTTCTTGAATCTTTTGATGATTAGGTACATTTATGTATTTGTATTTCTAGCTAGATAGTATGTCTTTCCGAATATACATGTGTATACGTATCTAACTTGTCCCTTTCTCTGTATGTGTATTATTGTGTAGAAAAAACTATATATATACTATAAGTCTGGCGGTGGATTGCAGATGCTTAATGTTATTGGTAGTACTTTTCTTAAGCTCGCAATTCATTTAATGTACCAGAACACAATGAAATCATTCAACGTAGTTCTACATATATACCTTCATTATTCTGTTGAACAAAACATGCCATGTTTCATATGCTTGTATCAATACAAGTTCAGGACGTTTACTTATTTTATTACTCTTTTTTTTGTACTCTTCTCTCTTTCATAAGATTGCACAATCTAAAATGTTTCGTTTTGTTTCATTTTATTTCACTTTGTTTCAAATATATCTGTGCAAGTTAGTTTAAATTCATACCATTCTAATTGATTTATTTTGTTTTGATGGCAGAAAAACGGCTTTAATGCTAGCTTTATGTAAATTCCTGAGGGACAAGTACAGTCTTGCAGCTGTATGTATAGCTTCTACATTCCATTCCTTTTTCTTTTCTTTTCTTTTTTTAAGAAATGAATTACATGCATTTCTGGAAATTTTATTTTAGAGATCCATAGTTTTGATTAGGATTTGGACTTCAAAGGATCCCATATTATACCTAGTGAGTACTGGGTTTTAACTCACAAATTTCAGCCCTCCATGCTAAAGGTTTTGGTTTAAATGTTCAGCAGAATCACCAAAGATTTGGTGATTCTTATAATCAAGAAAGTAAAATTACCAACCTTGAACGATGTAGTGTAAATAAAATTGTACTCTGATTTGGTTTGTTTTAAGCTAAAAGCTTAAGTGCAATTTGCATCTGCAAACAGATAATTTATCATTCATGGGCAATCCGGCACTGTTTCTCATGTCATAAACATTTTTGCATAATATCCTTCTAATGATCATTCCAAGTTTCTTATGAAACTAGGCATGACGAGCATGTCTGGCTTTGCCTAAAATCTTAATACCTTCTTTTCTGTGACTTATGTAGAGACACATTTTCAAAGATAAGTAGGTTTTATGCTACTTCAAGACACAGCCAAACATACCATTTCTAGCCATCATTTTTCTTTCTGTCAGATGAGAAGAAAGTGTTCAACTTAAGTTACCTCCCTTGTTGTCAATCCCACCATAAATGAATAATGACCAATGTTTTAGCAAGTATAGGCTTCTGACTGAATTGCACGAGAAATTTCATTCAGAATCCGAATTGTGATACTACTAATTATTAATTTAGGTGACAAACGATATATTCACGAAAGAGGATGGTGAATTCTTGATAAAGCATGGAGCACTTCCTGAAGAAAGGATTCGTGCTGTAGAAACTGGTGGCTGCCCACATGCTGCTATTAGAGAAGATATCAGCATTAATCTTGGGCCTCTTGAGGAGCTCTCCAATTTGTTCAAAGCAGACATACTTCTTTGTGAATCTGGGGGAGGTATTATGTGGCTTTTCACCTCGTTAAATCATACGTGATTGTCATTTAATTCAAAGAATGCTTTAATGTGTTTCTGAGCATTGTACATTCTATGAATCTTCGAATTCTTTTTAAACTTGCTCTTATTTAGTTACTCATACTGATGCAGACAATCTAGCAGCCAATTTCAGCAGAGAACTGGCCGACTATATAATTTATATAATTGATGTAGCTGGTGGTGATAAAATTCCTCGAAAAGGAGGTCCAGGCATTACACAAGCTGACCTTCTTGTATGCGTTCTTCTCCTTTCTACCTTCAGTTGTTGACTGGCCTTCTACACTAATCAATGTATTACCTGTGATTTCTAATATGATATTTATCTAATAGTTGGAATTGCACTTTTAACTTCAGGTCATAAACAAAACTGACCTGGCAGCTGCAGTTGGAGCTGATCTGCAGGTCATGGAACGTGATGCAGTTCGAATGAGGGATGGTGGCCCATTCGTTTTTGCACAGGTTTTTTAAATTTTTGTTTCTCGTTTTCTTTATGGTATAAATCCATGATGTTCATACCCCCGGTGATATTACATAATTTTGTCTTTCAAGGTTTGTCCTAGACTTGAATTAGTTTTATAGTAGCATGAAAAATGCTGAATAAAAAGAACAAGATGAGATGTGGACATTAGTAAAGTTTCTCAGGGTGTAGGTTTGTTGGAGTTTCTGGTATTCCACCATCTGATGATGAGCGCAGCTCGTATTTATGAGTTCTAAATACCTCTATACAGCTCTTGTTAGATGTGGAAAGTTAAAAAAAATAAAAAGCAATTCTCGGTTTATATTTCATTTTTGCCACGCATTTGCAGTTTTCTTCCCCGTTGGACTATGGTCACTATTCTTGCCGAAACAACGTTATTGCCTTCATAGTAATGATGATTGAAAATATGCTCGTGCAGGTCAAGAATGGTGTTGGCGTGGCTGAAATAGTAAGCCACATTTTACAGGCTTGGGAAGTAGCAACAGGGAATAAGCGCCATTAAGTTGTTGTGCACTATGTTTTTCTATATTATGTTAATTAGAATCGACGAACTTGCTTAACTACCTTTTATGTTCTTTCCCATTTCTCCGGAAATCCAAGTGAAGAACTTTGTATTAGCTTGACGGAAAACTTTATATTCAACCTGTTGTTGGTTGGAAGCAAGTCTTTTGTATTGTGTTGTGTTATTTGCATCAGCTTAAACTCCATACTCCTTACTATTCCACAGAAAATTCATTGAAGATTTCCATGTTAAAATAGCAAAATTGCACCCCTCCACATTTAAAAAAATAAAAGAAAACTAGAAGCCCAGCCCAATTTTTGAGGGTTCGAGTGAAAATGAAAGGGTCTTTGCCTTTCGCCTCGTTTGGTTCTCAAAAGGTGTGTTCTTCATCCAACGGCGATTTGGCGATGTGACAAAATTTAACTGTCTAATGGTGTGACATGGAAACGGCGATTTGGCGATGTGACAAAATTTAACTGTCTAATGGTGTGACATGGAATTGTCGCATGTCACGTGGACAAATCCATTAAAGGGATGAAACAAAATCCAACTTAGTGATGGATGGGTAACTCCTCTATATGTTTAATGATATACTTTTTCATAATGTAACTTGACTGAATTTCACTGTGCAGCATTCTTGAAATCGGTAAACTAAACATTGAAACAGAATCTACAATCATACAATAGAAGTCATATTCAAACTGATGCAACAGAGCATCACAGAATTCTCGTCAATTCTACATGCCACAATAAATTGAAAACAACAAAATAAATGATTAAAACATCCAGACGAGCAATAAAACATTTCAACGCAGCAAAGGACAGTGACAACGAGAATCCAAGAAGTTTGCACAGCCACATATCTGTCACCATGGAAGAAGAGTAAATAAGTAAATAAAATAAGTCCAGCCCCGAACCGTGAATAAAAAGAGTCGTTTTTCCCTTTGGGAGTGGACAGGAAGGAGGACATGGAAATGAAACACGAAAGAGTATAAGTTTATATGGATTTCAAACTATTCGGTGAAGAACAGTAAAACAGGATAACTTCGGTTGTAACCCAAATATTTCTAAGGACATACTAGCAGAGAGAAATTGACAATAAAGCATGTTAAACAACCAAAGGAAAAGTAAAACAGATGAGATTCAGGTACAAGTCCTTTCATGTTAAAGCCATTTAGAGAGCATAACGACTTGTATAACCGCCACATACAAAGTTCCCTTTCAACCACCATTCACATACGCTTGCGGCCTATTGTCTGACAACACTGTACTAACACCCATCAATATTCTAAATGTACAGCACCAGATCAGATAATATTACATAATAAACCCTTTAAGAAAATCTAATAGGAGATACATCACATATAAGACAGTAACTGAAGCAATCATATAAGAAAATTGATCTACCTTTAATTTAAGGCACAACAATTTCTCAGCAATCCCTTACCATGAAATTATGCTTGAAGCAGATAAAATTCTCCCAAATTATTACATTTTTCAAATGTTAGAAAGAAACCAAATAAAAATATGAAACTTCACAGCATCCATAAAATCCTTTCAAGCCAAATCATTTGTTTGGTTCAATAGTACTCCTTGTATGGTGCATACACTTGTGAATATAACTACCATCTATTTGCAAAATAGTAAATTACAGGTATCACAACTGTGCTACTAATTGATGGAGCGGAGGCTCATAGCGGAATCAACTAGGCCAATAGGTTAGACACACAAAAGTTGGGGTTGTGGGCTCCGCCCACGCAGTCCAGTCTGGTATTGTAAGGGTAATTTCGAGAATATGGCTCTATTTAAAAACTTATTGTGACCCGTTCGAAGTTAGTGGATTTAATGTGCTATACGTTAGATGTAGGCACATTGCCGAACCACTTAAATTCTTGTGTGTTGATTCTGTTGTTCTTTTCAGTTTTACTATTCACTTTTACACAACAGTTACCTTCAGAATTAGCTATTGCTAGAGCATTACAGCTACAGAATCCAAGACTTAACTTCAAAATACCAACTACATTCAGGATTTCAGGTGATAGGCTAGCAAAAAGAAGCGATGTTTCTTTTAATTCAGATCCCAACAGCTTTCAAACCAGGCATCCATTTTCGGTTTCTGATTGATTAGGAAAATCCATAATTCAAGTGGTTACCTTCTCGATTCTTGTATGCTTTCTTTTCTGTTTATAGACGCATTTGACATTAGTTAAATATATCCACTTCCACAGCAAATAGAAACTTATTAAATGCTTTCATCATTTGAGATTGTTACTCGAACATTATTACGTATCTAACTTTTCAACTAAATTAATATCAAATATGGGAACAGTTTTAGATTTCTTTAGGAAATTTGAATTGACATTCAGAAGTAACAAGTATGATAACTTCAATTCCAAATTCAAACTCGATTCTCACTTTTCTTCCTGCACTTGGCACCTCCTCTAAGCCTCATTTTCTTACTTGTAATGCAACTGTGCCAACATTGAATGGTATAGCCATTAGCCGTGTTATATAAATCTGACATCTTTTCACATAAACGGAAGATCTTACCTAATACACCTACGCATCACTCTAGTTGCTGCTGACCTGAAATAAGAACTTAAGACGCATTAGGACCACTGCATGCAAGAATGACACATATGTGAAAATTATGGCACCCAGCCCAGCCCAAACCATTTGATCATTTGCTCGTAGTCAGTCTTTAACACTATCATAGAACTTTGCAACACATGCAAATTTTTACATAAGCTGCTGCAGTTAAGGCGCTTGAAGTCACAAAAAGAAAGTTCAAGATTTTAGTGCAACTAAACCATATACAAGCAATGTACTATAGAAACCCAAAACATGTCCTTGAACTATGCAAAACATGCCACAATTACAATAATGGATACAAACAACTACAAGCTTTAAGCTAAGACTGGAGGTGAAAAATCGCATGTATAAAGCCGCTCAATATCAATCCCAAATGCCAAAGGCGTTTATAATCAAGGCCAAATTTATAGAACAACAAAAACCAACAACTGCTTACTTAAGGCCAAAGTTACGCTTCATTTAGTTCTTGTAATTCCATCTTCTTTGCATCTTCTCTAATGGGAGTAAACCCCTTGATAGACACTAGGCTCTCCACATAGTAGTTAGCCTGAAGCACCAACCAATTAACTTTCTGAATTCCAATTGTCTTGGTTTCTCTGGTTTCGACATCATATAAGATCACTTCTCCTCTCCTCACGAGTACAAATTTTCCATTTACGCTGCACAATAAACGATAAAACTCGACATCCAGTTCAAAGGAGAATTTCTTACTCCAAAGTTCCTTTCTGACACTATCATTTTCCATCGTCCATACTTGATATATTTTCCTTGGCTGTGTCAAAACAAGTCCCGCCAAAGCAAAAGTTTCCTTCCAATTCATACAAAAAGCACCCCGCTCCCCGACTAATATTGCCGTGTTCGGAACCAAATGTAGTAAAAGTTCAGGCAGAGGAACCAGCTGCAGCACCTCAGTACTCATATCAAATGAAGCTACTAGAGGCTTCATGTCACTGTTATTCCCATCCTTGACAATCCAATGAGCAAAACCCTTCAGTGTCACATCACAAACACGGCGGAGAGGGATAAAACTGCCATCAACGTTAATCTCCCTCCAAGATTCTAAATTGGCCGACCACACCTCTGCCCACGATTTCCCGTCCTCGCATTTAGAACCAATCCTTACTACCTTGTAATCATTCGCAACCGGATCCCAACCAAACCCGCATGAAACATTACTTGGACCTCTATACTTACCAGGAGGGAGTACCTTGAACAGTCTGGTGGAAGGGTTCCATATTGAGATGATATCAGGCGTACACCCGATTAAACAGAGCAATCCATTGATTGAGCCCGCATACATCAGTTCCTGGTCGAAACAATAGGCCTTATACAGCACAGAATCGAGGTTTTGGATAGGGGAGAATGTGACAGGGACGAAGGACAAGGGTGGGTATTCGCATGTGTCGTGAACAAGAATGGAGTGCCTTGCAAGGTTGGAAATGGCGCAGTTGAGGTTCGAAGAGACGAAGAAAGGGGATGAGATTAAGGCGCGCCAGTGGGTACATACGCACCTGAATCGGAGAAGGGATTTGACGGGGAGTCTTGAGAGGATCTCCACCATAACTTGTTCCGGCAAACAAGACTCGCTCGAATTTCGTTTAGGAGACATTTTTCAGTCGACTGTGTGTGGGTAGAGAGCGACCGTCTGTCTGTTCAGGGGAAGAGGCCAATTAAAATGCATATTTTATAATCAGTAATTACACTAAAATTATTTTATAAATATGGCTCCCATATAATATTACACGAAAACATAAAAATTTCTACTTACACACATTTTTCATCAAAATACTATTTCAAAAAATATATATTTTTTTTACAAAAAAATGGGCTCAAACATAACTATAGTCCTACTCCAATTATATATATATATATATATATAGTAAACTTTATTTTATTTTATATTTAATATGTTAGACAGGACTTAACAATTAATATTTTTTGTCAAACGTGTGTCTTACTTAAATATGTTCATTTATGAGTCCAATCA